TGCGAGGTGAGAGTAATGCTGGCTGTGATTATGAAGTTTGTGTGTCGGCTTGGCTGGGCTATGATTCTCAGGGGCTTGGCAGTTATGTGATGATGTAATTATCCTACATTTTGTGATCTGATGTAGTCACTCTCTATTTTTACATAGCGCCTATTTTGGCATAACTACTTGGTCTTTGGAAACTTACCATGTCAATAAGTGAGGAGTGAGTGTATATATCATTATGGAGTCCCTGGGTGATACTAATGGTTAACACATTCAACTGTTAACTGAAAGGTTGGAGGTTCAAGTTCACTCAGAGGAACCTAGGAAGAAAAGCACGGTGATCTACTTCTGAAAATTCAGCCACTGAAAAACCTATGGAGCACAGTTCTACTCTGAAACACATAGGGTCTCCAGGAGTTGGAATCAACTCCACAGCAACTGATGAACTGTGTGGTGAATGTATAATTATATATAATAAGTATCTCTATCTCTACCAGCTATATCTGTATGATTACAGAGAAATGCTTTCTGCTTAAAACTAATAATGAAAACTTCTACTTAATCTTACAAATGTACAAAAAAATTAATAAATGAAAATATTAAGAGCCTACAGTTTTACAGAGCATAAAATAGTTTGAATGACACTTTAAAATATCTGTATATTGTTTCATTTGTTGTATTTATTTTACTTTTTGAATGATAAAGTGAGTATTATAAGGAGGTATTGAAAAATATCTAAAACAGTAAGAAAATATTATGTTATTTAGTACCTGTTTCTATCACTGCTATGAAAAAGCCTAGCTTACTTTCTCACTTTTAGAGATGTTCATATTCCTTAGGGCCATTATGTGGGAAATGAATTCTGTACTTGTGGTTTGAAAACCTTCCAACACACTAATTTACATATGTCCTGGAGCTGCAAATATCCCATGCCTGCATGCCTCAATCAAAGTGGAAATTTTTATCCTCTTCACTCTCCAGCACAATCAAGCTTAGTTTAGTGAAGATGAGAATTGCATACATATAATGTGAAAATGGTGTGTATAGTTGGGATAATTATCTTTATATCATGCTTGTACAGGTCAAATTGCATATTTAATAAACATGTTAATATTGGGGCTTTCTCCATTGCCATCTCTCATGTGAGGGTAAAGTTAATAACTATTGGCCACTGTTGTTAGTATAGTGTCATGTTAATGTCAACTAGACCATCTAATAATTTTCTGATATACAAAGAAAACTGAATATGGAAATTCATATATTAAGAGGATTATTCAATGTACATGATCTAAAGATTGCCTTAAGAAAATTTTCAGGTTCTCTTCATGATATATTTCAAAAAAATGTATTTCTGATTTAATTAGTTTACCACTGATTTTTTAGCTACGGTTGTGAAGTCTGGACAGGGAGTCAGGAGACTTGAGTTCTAATTCCGGTTTTGCCATCAACTAGTTACAGTAGTTTAAGCAATTAACTTAACCTCCAGGGGCTCAGCTTCCTCAGTATAAAATGAGATAAGTTGTATGCATTAGTGGTTTTCATTGAGTGCTTTGAGATGTATGGGGAGGTTAATGGTGTCCTTTGGGGCTGTTGGGGAGGGACAGTGACTGTGACAGCTAAATGGGCAGGGTTCTGGGCTTCCTTTCCTAGCTTAAATCAAAGTGGATCTGCCTTATGCTGCTTTATGTATTTACACACTCTGGGGAAATGTGTTTGTATAAGGCTTTCTTGTTTAAAATTAACAAACAAAAAAATTTAAACCACCAGACCAAATGATCTAATATTTAAGGAAGCTTCCAGCAATAAATTATACAAAATTCTATGGGCTTTCGAATGTACTACAAAATTGAGTTTGAGAAGAGGAAATACATGCTATCCTTCTGTGAAATATCTTGGAAATATTTTGGAAATTGTCTGATGGGAAGAAAAAAAAATGTGGTTGTTAGTCCATGTGCATCTGCATTATCATTGTCATTTGACTTTCAGACCAAAAAGTAATTGACCCAAACATGTAAACTATTTTTATCAGAATTGCATTCATATTCTGACATCGTTATGTTTGTGATAGTCTCAAAAAATTGTATTTTCTGTATTCTGAAGTATTATATGTATCCTGGGGATAAAGTTTGGGTTATAGATTATATCTCCAATTGTCAAATTGAATCAATTTGGAAAGCAGTATTCAAGATACAGAAATGTGCTTGAATGGTACACATCGATGGAAGATGAGTTATTTTCCCATGGATGCTATATTATTAATAAGGAATTAAGTCCTGGTACTTACAGCTTAAACCTCTTTATTCTAGTTTTTAACTTTTTTTTTCTTTCTCTCCTTTCCTCTCTCTCTTGCTTTCTTTCTCTTCCTTTTTCCTTTGTTTCTTTCTTTCCTTTCTCTCTCTCTTTGATTTTAAACTACTGAGGGGATTGTTTAGAAAGTACCACAAATGATGCATAAGCCATGCTTCAAGTGAACTAGGAACGAAGGAATGGCTTGGTTATAGAGCCCCTAGATCAAAAATAGCATAGTGGACAAACAACTGAGGTTATTTTGACTAGTATCATTTGAAATTGTTAGCAGGTTTACTAGAATATAGAAAATGAAGCTAATGGAAATTTTCTCTAAATGTTAGATTGTTCGCTTAGAAAATTACGCACTAAAATACTAATTTGCTCTTCCTGTCACTAAGTAAAAAAACAATGACTAAGTTTCTTACAGATTTATATTTCCTTTGAAAATCTTTTACAAGGCCAGTATAGCTTGACTTATATACTATAAATATCTATGTCTACCGTGTGAATTTTTATACACTTCAAGTATTTATATTACATTTTCCCAAGTTAAAGAAAATATGTTTTTCTAGAATAGTTATGCCTGAAAGTATCACTCATTTTAATATATATTTTCATTGCCTTGTTTCTAAATATGTTCAATCAAATTCAGCATTTATAACTTTTCACAGAAATTGTTTTTAAATATTCCATTAACTTTCTGTCAGAATAATGCATACCATTTCACTTTAGATTTAAAGCACCAAGATAAATCATTTTCTACAGCTGAAAGAAATCATATTAACATAATTTTTTAAAAATAAAAATCACTGTATCTATGTCTAATCCTGAGTATCTTTATGTCTAGTATTTGACAACCTTTGTATGGTCAGCTCTACAAATCATTATAGATTAAAATAAATACTTAAAAATAACATTTAAAGAAAACAGACAATAAGTCAATAGTCAGGGCCCTTTATTGCAATGACTGAATCCCTTTTGGATGTTACGTCAAATGTTTTTCATTTTATTAAAGAAAAAATATTCCCATCTTTTCTTCCATCTTAGAATAGTATGAGTAATGAATCAGAAAAAGACCACAATTTGAATTTTTTATTTTTATTCTTTCACTGTAAATCTATATTTCCAGGAATCTGAAAGTAAGTTTCACAATTAAATAATTGTGATAAATTTTTTGGCTATGACTGACTCAAATATAATGACACCAATGCATAACCACTTTTCATATCACCAATCCAACTTTTTCTTTCATTTAAATTTTAAATACTTGTTTATAAATTTGGTTTAAGTTGATTGTAATGGAAGAGTTATTTAAAGTAATCAGATTTGTTTCTTGTTAGAAAAATGAGATTATTAAATATCTAGAAATTATAAACCAATTATTCTTCATAGCTTTATTATTGCTGATTAATATAGTAATTATTATTTATTATTACTGATTAATATAATATTAAATGCCTAAAAAAAAAAAAGAAGCCAAAACAATTGATGAAAACCTTGCAAATATCACAATCGTTGAAAAAGTTAACATTATAGGGGGCAAAACGCGTAAGATAATTGCCGCTAAAATCCAGCAAACCGTGAGTATTATTAATGAGTACTCTGAGGGGAGAAGTTAGCATAACATGTGTCAGGAATGCAAACCTGATGTTGACAATATGGTGGCTTTCATCCCTCTGCCTTTCAACTGCTTTCACAGCGTAGAAACCCAACTGGCCCTTTTAGTCCTAAGAAGGATACTGAGTGGAACTCTTTATACACTTGAATTCTTAAACCTAAATGCACATGTATAGAGCATGCATTTATTGATCCTCTGGTTAAGACTTTGCTTGGCTGTTATGTTTGAAACAAAGGTGCTATCCCACTCTAGCTGAAGTGTAGACTCCTTTTGAAATCTGTTTTGAATACTAGCCTCAGCCTTTACATTATTTTTCCTATTATTTTTTTCCTTTTCATTTCCTATTATTCTTTTTCATTTATTTACCTAATATGCATTAAGCATCTTCTGGGTGCCAGGCTTGCTCAAGATGCTGGATGTCTTAAAGTCACTGCTCATCTACCTATTTATAACTACGTAGACTTCTTAACTCTATTCACAAGGGGAAAAGGAGGTTGGCATCATCTAGTCTATCTCTCTGCCTAATAGAAATATAAGAGCCATCTGTAATTTACACTTTCTAGCAGCCACATCATGGGACAAAGATGTGGCAGTCTTCTTCTGTAAAGATTACAGCCTTGGAAACCCTATGGGCCAGTTTTACTCTGTCATTACTCTACTCATTATGAGTCAGCATCAACTCAGCAGCAACATGTTTAATTATTTGTCAGTAACATCACAAATCCATCAGGTTTATTTTGTTTTAGTTATATTTTTTAACTTGTTAGCTAGCTTCTGTATTGCATGTTTAGTTTTACTCACATCACTAACCATCAATATACTATTTGGCTCTTAAGATATTTAAGAAGACCTCATTGTGAACTTAATACTTAAATAAGTTGTAATATTGCATGTGAATTTTATATACATACTGCAAAATTGTATTGAAATGGATATTCAATAAAACTATGCACACAATTTTTAGACTGTTGTAAAAGTCAATTCTTGGAAGATTTTACACTCTATTTAAAAAAAAAGGCATGAATTGACAAAGAGATCAAAATATATAGATTATAGGTTGAAGAGTAAGAAATAACCTAAAGGTTGTATAATTTTCATATTCCTTTAGAGCTATCAATGTGTCTGCCTGCCTGGTTGGGAAGGAACGTTTTGTGAGCAAGAATCCAATGAGTGCAAAATGAATCCTTGCAAGAACAATTCTACCTGTACTGACCTTTACAATAATTATCAGTGAGTAACACATTTCCACTTTTCTTTACGAAATTACTTGACGTGCACAATGTCCTTGGAATGTATCCAGGTGTTATTTTCATTTTACATCCATTTAATTAAAATAACTATCCAGAGTTGAAGAGCCATATACTGACAAGACAGTGTGACATTCGCTTGAAATTTGCAAATACTGAAGTCCAAGTGTCAAATAAATAAGGAAATAAACACATTTTAAACTGGAAAGGCAATTTGCGGTTGTGACACATAATAAAAATTTACTTCTTCAAAATATGCTTTTGCCATTTCAGCATTGTTTTGGACCATCCCATGCAGAATAAGAGGTGCCACAATATGACAAGGAAGGAATGGATCTACTATTGAGTTGAAACTTTTAATTTATTATCTAGATATTATTATGAGTTTGGATAATTTTAGTCAAGTTACTGATAAATTTAATGACATAATTAATTTCTATTTTTTGTAATCCCATTGTATTAATTAGCTTTTGTATGAGAAGAGAGTAGAAAATCTAAATAGAAAGTCTAAGTAGCTATTGCTGTTCTTTCAAACATTTAATAACCAGATATATATTAAAGATAGTCCCCAACTTATGATGGGGTTCCTTTTCAACAACTCCAACGTAAGTCGGTTCTGATGTAAGTTGAACATGTCATTTTTTTTTTTTTTTTTTTTAGTTTTATTATTGCCTTTTATTATCAGTGTCTTTTTAAATCTGACCTGTATTTGTCTTTTTAAATCTGACCTTTATTTGTCTTTGGGGGTAGGAAACATTATATATAAACTTACAAATATATTTTAACATTGTATATAGTACATATTACTAACAATAAGATGTACAAAAAAAAAAAAGAACACATAAGGTAGTAAGTGCAGCGCAGTTCAACTTAAATACGCCGTAAGTCGGGGACTACCTGAAATTAATGCTTTTTATTCCTTGACTTGTTCAATATATACTAGACCTCACAAATAGATGCAAAATCAGGTGTATTGTAACTGTAATGCCTTGCTTCTTGCCACAGAGTCAGGTTAATAGTAAAACAAATATGCTTAGATGATTATTCTCCAGGGATAAATCAAAATGACTTTAGAGTGTCCACCAAAGTAACTCATACACTTTCTTTTGCCTTGTGATTATAGTTGAGAATTCTGGATCATCTCAAGCAGGTAGAGATATTCTTGGTAAACAACAAGTGTTTCTCACTTTTGGTGACTGAAGTGGGCTATAATATCCACATTGGCCAACAGTAGGCAGTTTATTAAGTAGCTGGCAATAGTTGAATTTGATATCTTGATGGCAGGAAGAAAAAATATGAATAATTTGGGTAATATAGAAAAATTCAAAATGCCAGTGGTTGATATTAGTTTAAATATACAAAAATATAAAAATTCAGGGCTTTTTTATGTGATGTTATCAATTATTAAAGTGTATATATCATCATAAATTAGTATGAACAGCCTCTCCATCTATGTAGTGGATAAGTAACTTTCTATGAGCTATGTGAGGAAAAAAAAAAAACTTAGTAGTTATCAATGGTTATTTCATTTTCGTTAAATAAATCTATTTATTATAGTCCACAAGTATGTACTATTATATTTTCCAGTTTTTTTTTTCCACCGAGATGCTGATATATAATTTTTATCTTTGTCTCTTTTTTAACTCTTACAAATAATTTGTGTATGCTTGTGTGTATGGGCACCTGCACTGTCAATGTCCTCCAACCAAACGCCATACACCTGGGGTTAAACAGCTTGGGTTTATTAACTCAGCGAAGGAGGATGCATACCATGTAGAACCACAGGACGTCTTAGCAAAAGGATTTTATAAAGGATTTAGTATAGGTTTGAGTTTGTGTTAGGTAATTTTGGGTAGGATTTAACCAAGTGAAGCTTTGCTCTGGATTAGGTATTATCAGGATGTGGGGATAATTCTATGGTTGGGTAACTTAAAAAAAGTCTTATCTAGAAGGATGGAAGATTTGACAGAGGCAAAAACCAAACTAAAGAAGCAGCAGTCACTCATACCAGTCAGGACAAGGGAATATTTGGTCATTCTTTTGGTTTTGCCTATGCTTTTGCTGTGTTCCTATATAATTATGGAGTAGCCTTGTTTTTGTTATGATCCATAATTTTTCTCAGAATGACTTTGTCTAATATTGATATTAATGTTTTGTTAAAATTGTCAGTTGCAATGTTTAACAGGAGAACACCAAGATCTAGCTGTGAGTGTTTCCTCCCCCCAGCACACCAAAACCTAGTTGATTATATCTGACCATCTACTAGATGTTAGGAGATGCTTTTCTCTTTCTCAAGATGCAGTCTCATGTGTATGTGTGAATATATAGAAATACATATGTATATATATGAATGTATATATGTGTGAATGCATATATACTATGTATGTATGCCATATATATACATATGCATGTAAACCACTTATGTTTGTTCACTCATTTGTCCAAAATATGTTATTCTTATAAGATACATCAAATTAGAGTACTCAAATATTGATTTATTAATTATCCAACACGATATTACTTATTTAAATAAAAATATTACTATTCGATGCAAAGATTTTAAAAATCTAAAACAAAACAAAATCTATCAGACTCAATTAAAGTCACTTTATTTCAGTATTAGTGAATCATAATAATGTTATGGTCACCCTGAAAAATCAGGTGCAACCCCTACCCAAAGTTTGGTTCAGATGTCAAGACTAACGACACCACACACACACAAAGAGGGTATGAAAAATTTTATTACTTACACAATTGAGGTCTCTAGGAAGAGCAGGGCAGTCCTCTCAAGCAGGTGCAAAATGACTTCAGAGAGCAAAGAAAAGAGAATGACCTATGGAAAAATTATTATTGGAAAGTTTTGGCATTATTTCATCAAGTATTCTCTCTACCCTTTTCTCTCTTCCTTCCCCTTCTAGAACTTCCACTGTGTGTATGTTAATTCTCTTGATGGTGTCCAACAGGTTTCTAAGGCTCTCTTCATATTTCTTTTTTTCCTGATCTCAGAATGGATAATCACAACTGAACTCTCTTAATACTGACTGGCTCATTCTTCTGCCAACTTAAATCTGCTATTGAACTCTCCTAGTAAATTTTTCATTTCAGTTCTTATACTTTTGACTTTAGAATTTTTAATTTTTTTGTAATTTCTATATCTTTACTGATATCCTCTATTTGACAATACTTCGTTCTCATACATTGTTTTTAAATTAGTTAGATATGGTTCCCTTCATCATTTGAATATATTTATTATACCTGATTTAATATCTTTGTAGAGTAAGCCCAGTATCTGGGCTCTATCAGGAACAGCTTTTATTGACTTATTTTATTTCTATTTATGGACCATACTTTTCTCTCTTCACATATCTCGTATTTTTAAATGAAAACTTGTCATTTTATATAATTGTGGCAACATTGCAAATAAGATCCCTCAATGTTATTGTTTGTTGTTGTTGCCATTGCTGTTTCTTGTTTAATGATTTTGCTGCTTTAGTTTTGTGAAGTATTTGTTCTTGGTCATGCATGCCCTTTGAAGTGTCTGCTCACTAGCTTAGTAGTCAGCCAGTAGTCAATTTCTTAAATGCTTTGGACAAATAAATCTCCCAGCCTTTAGTGCATGACTCTGTGTACATGTTGAGGCACGCCTTCAAACCTCTTTTGAGTTTACCTGTTGGTTAACCTTCACTTCTTGTTTGTGCAAAGCCTCAAAATGAGTAAGAGATCAGAGATTAGGACATTCTCACATCTTTCTTAGACATGAGCTCAGCCCTGCACACGTGTTGCCTTCTAATTTCCCAGGATATGCCTGACCTTTCCAAAATCCTCTATGGACATCTCATTCTCCAGCTTTTACTTTTAAGTACTCTGGTCATTCTCAAGTTAGTCCCAGCTGGAAAGACCACCTCAAGGAAGGTACAGTGTTAAACACTTGCCACTGAGTTTTTTCAATAAATTTCTAGAGAATAGGGCTGTTCTACTAGAAGGAGCTTTGAGTTAGGTCAGATAAAGTCAACCCCTTACAATGGAGCTATTCAGAGAGCTGCAAGACCAGTAATGTAGTGAAAATTTCCCTGGGATGGGGCTTTTGAGTACACTCCAAACCCATTCTGTCCCCGCCAGTGTCTTCCAGGCTACTTGTTTCATAGCTGCAGAAGTTGAAATGTTGTTGGTTCTCAAGGCTACCTTGGATCTTAGAAAACAAAAATGGGAATAGGGCAAGTTAAAAAAAATATAGCTGGCTGTTCTTATGAGACTCAACCATTTTTCTGAATAAACACTCTTCTGATTGTTACAAGCCTTTATTAATTTCCAGAGTTTTAAAAAAGTTAATTTTTCAATTTTTCCAGTTCCTGGATGGTACAAACAGTAAAGTGCTCAACTAGTAGCTGAAAAGTTGGCAGTTCAAACCCATCCAGAGGTATCTTAGAAGGCAGGCCTGGCTGTTTGCTTCTGAAAGGTCACAGCTTTGAAAGCCCTATGGAGTTCTACTCTGCATGCATGGGTTTGCCATGAGTCAGAATCGACTCAACAACAACAGACAACAGCAACAACAACAACAATTAATTTTATGGAGGAACAGATTTTCAGAGGCCTTTTCTCTACCATTAAGGTAGTGATTCTACCAAGTTGTATTTTATGTTACTCATAGTATATATAGAGAAAAAAACAGAGTCAGGGTGCCTGTATCAAAATTTGGTTCTGTCTCTAAATATTGGTGCGAACTGATATAAACAAGTCTACCTTACATTTCTATGTTTCAAATTTTCTTATACAGAAAGTGAAAGTAATAATAACAAAACCTCATAGGATTATGGTAATAATTAAATGAAATTCTTTCTAAGAGCATTTATCTCAGTTCCTGATGTATCCTTAGCCCTACATATCATTAGTTATTATTATTCCCAAACTTTATCTTATTTTGAAAAATATATGTATGGATAAGACTAGAATATCATCTTATAAATGATGATTTGTTGAAATTAT